TGATATGGCTCCTTGCAACTTCTGGCTGTTCCCCAAACTCAAGAGGCCATTGAAAGGAACGCGATTTCAGACAAGATAGGACATTATGGCTCCAACGACAGCCGAGCTAAACTCCATTTCGAAAGAGGCCTTCTCGGAATGCTTCCAACAATGGCGGCACCGCTGGGAGAAGTGTGCGGAGTCCCAAGGAGACTACTTTGAGGGTGATTAGGTTTCCAACGCTCCAGGTATGCCAGTTTTTATTCCCCAGCCAAAGGTCGGATACTTTTCTCACAGGCCTCGTATTTAAGGCAATCTCACTACTAAGAAACATTAACTCAGTAATCTATACAATAGTATTACAACAATTGTAACTGAATGAAACCAGATTAAATTAAACTTTAGCATATCCAGTTACAACACAATATCTCATCCCAAGACACTGCAAAACAGACCATACAGAAGCAGTCTAAAGCTATTATTGGCACTATTTTCCATTTAAAGTTGCTGCACTTGCCTTCAATTAGATATACATTGTATTATTGTATCATTGCACAGCAAAAGCAAGCAATAGAGTATGATGTCTGACAATAGACTGCAAAAGTTAAGAGAAGCTGTTTGATATCACAAAATTTAAAGTACAAGGCAGATGTAGCATGTCACCATGGAAGGATGGACCTTTCTAGCTGATCAACATAAAAGGAAAATGATGATTGGTAGCATAGAAGACAACCAAACAGCTGATGACAAAGGAGAAAAAAGAAGCAAACTGAACAGGATAGAAATGCTAAGCTAGCATGTAAATGTATTAGCATGCAAGAAATATCAGTTCACAATGTCTAATTTGCCATTAGAGACAGCAGAGGAAGATGTCAAAACTTACCTCCCTATCTACAACTGAGGTTAAAGCCCCTACCTCAAGTTAATTGCTGCCTATCACAATAGACTGTCCCTCCCATCATTTGCCAAAGCATGCAATTGCTATGGAATTACAGGTGATGCAGCTGGCAGAATAGCAGTCTTTCAAGATACAGGAGTAATCAGTGCAATGGGAACTATAGAAGCTGCCAAATGGACTTGTTTGTCAAGGGCTATACTTTTATGGAAGGATGGATAAGACTAGAACTTGACAGAAAACTGGCTCTGCTTGGTACAATGTGGACTATTCGAGAACATTACTTTGGTAGAAGAGCCATGTTCTAATTACATAGGTCATATAACACTGAATCAATTCGATGTTTTTGAGGAAGTTTTACAATTGCTTCTGTCTTGTATGTTTAAGAAGAAACTAAAAGTGTGAGTGTGGTGCATATACGTGAAGAAATGGCATAAATAAAGGACGCCTGTATTACGAAATTGGGTCAAGAACTAGGCGAGGCACAGTTAGCTGGTTAGTTAATATTGAAAATCACGAGTTAAAGTTATGAAAATGAAGCTACAGTGAGGATGCCGAGAAAAATGCTAGTCACGAGTTTGACAGTGACAAGTTACTGATGCCAAGTTAGTAGCACAGTAAAGGCTTCTGAAAAGTTTATGATAGCATCTAAAATCAGCACTTTGATGTACAATTAATTATTTCAGCCTGGTGTAGTAGTATAAGTGAGAAGGCAACTGGAGCACTCACCATGACAGTAACTTACGAGTTTTGGTTCTTGTTTTGAAAATGCACAATGACCTGATGAGTTGCACAAATTAGTGGGTAGTGAGGAATACCATTTGGAGAAGAACAAAAAATAAATAAATGGAAAGAATACAGAGAAAATGCAGTATAAAAACTCTTGTCTGGAGCTAAAAATTAAGTTCAACATGAATATAAAGATTTCATGCAACATCTTGATGGAAACAACTTCAAACCTATATACACCTGTCTGCCACTGGAAATAATGTCCCTTTACGCACAGACTCTGTTCAGTATATGTAAAGGAGTTTCTTCAGGCCACTTTAACCAGCAGTTCATAAATGTGACCCTGAAAGGATGAATCAAGAACTTACATACAATGAATCTCGTGGGACTCAAAATACAGTTCCCTCCTTGTGGCAAGTTCTGGGTAATTTAAATGGTTTTGATTATAATAAGACCATTTATTTAGAAAATAGCAGCATAATATACTGTTGGATAGCTTACAGTCACTAAAGTGAGCCTATTCTGTATTAGAGATTTGGGGCAAACCAAGATACATTAGTAAGACAATAAATTTAACACTTTCTTTTATTGATTAACAACTTTTTCAAATTAAAAATTATGTTTGGTTTTATCATAGTCTTTCGATGCACCCTAATACACACCTACATGCTACATATACAAATTAGATATACTACAGTCAATTAACTCGAGATAAGAGAAACTTACCATTAAATTATACTGCAATGGCACCAAAAAGAAACAAGCTTCCCAGTTCACTACCTTAATTGCCACCCCTTCTTCCTGGCAAAGATATGTCCCCCCCTCAAAATGATTGCCCAAATTCGAAACAAACAGTTTGTAGATAAAACCGCCATCTATACTATTTTTCTGCTTGTTGGTATGTAAAACCGTTACACTTTGACCGAGAACTTACTGCATAAGCATGCATAGTTAGAATGTTTCCCTAAGAAAAACTGCACATTATTCACTCGACAGCAAACAGTCTGCACAGCTCAGTGATCAAGTCACTACAATTGCTGTATGAAACAAGAAGTAACAAAAGAGGAATGTAAATATACTTCACTAACCATTTTGTACAATAGAATATTAAAAACTTAAGTTTTTAAAAAAAGGTTTGATGTTAGGTCATAGAATAACAAGTTCATTTATCAATAGTATTAAGTACAGTAAAGTTTAGTCCTAACTAAACTAAAGTGTAAAATAAAAACTTACACAGGTTACAGTGTTAATTTCTCTTCATCGAACTTATGCCTAACAAGTTAAAGTTTTATAAAGTATGGCCTATATGCAAGTGAATTTACACATTTCATTGTCTATGATTACAATTAGTTTTTTTTGTGCTAGAATTGTTATATTTAAAGACGTACTGTTTTCATAAAGAGAACTAACTTGGCCAGAGATGTTGTGGGTCTCCGCTTGTACATAATTATCACTACTAACCTCTGTGCCTCATGTAGTTTCTTTTCAGCTTTCTCTTACAGGTCAAAAAGTTCAACCAATCATGTGAACATCCTGGGCACTAGTTTGGAATGAATCGGGTCTCCTAACTAATGAAAGTGGGTTCTTATCTGGGATCTCCAGTTTCTCCTCCACAACAAAATTAAACTGGGCATTGGATCTACAAATATCCACTCCCCTGAAAATAAGAGTCCATATACAGGAAAATTTTATCAAAACACAATGAGTTTCCCTCTTCACTTTTGCTGACACTATTCACATGTACATACTTTTTATTCCATGTTTTTTTTAACCTCCACATCTGGAGCAAAGGAGGACTACAGAGTCCTTGAGCACCCCTGGGATCTTGTACAAGGATTTTGTTTAAGGAATGTTCCTTACACTCCACAAAATTTACTTAATTACCTTCTAAATGGTAATAAAGCTAACTGGCACAAATATATAACCAAAAATGTCAAGAGTTAATCTGAAATAGATACATACTGAAGAAAAAAATAAAAAAAAAAAGTGCACACAAGACATTTTTTTTCAGACATTACCTTCCACCTACAAATGCAAGACTACACAGTGTGCTACCTGTTCCCACCACGAGTATTGAAACCTGGATTTAGTGTTACAGGCCTTTAGACTTATTGCAGGGCTCTGCAAATATTCACAGAAAGTTAAAACTGAAATGTGCTATTAATTTTAAATTACAAAAAAAAAGACAAATTTAATAAATGCATTCATGATAGTAATTACAAATTAAAAATGAAGTGCATTCATTGCATTAATTTGAGATCTAAACATTAATAAAACTAAAGATAAGCCAAATATAATGTAGGCAATACTTTTAACTCTTTAGTTGTAGTTGTTCCAATTCTTCTGTAAATTTTAAGTACACCATGCATTTTACTTATTAATGAAGGAAAGACTAGTGCTTGTGGAAAAAGAGTCAAAACCATATTATTCTTTTTCATCTTTTTAAAGGGCTCATTTTTTCCAGTAGTAACTTCAGCATGTCAACAGATTCATTAAGCAAAAAAGTTTGATGTCTTGAGGCAGGAAAACTTGATAAAGGTTTCGTAAATTATCTGTTGCTTAATAAACACTAACCCAAAAATCATCTTTCACCATCAGCTATTAGGTCATCTTAGCTTATTTTTACTGGGTAATTGCTCATTTTTCTGCCTTCTGTGCTACAATCATATTTTTCTGTTGGTTCTTTTGCCACATGTCAACATTCTGAACTTTTAACCAAGCAGGATACATTATCAAAACCATTGTGGCAGACTGATGTCAGCTGCACCAGTACACAGCTGGAACGTTTTGAAATATTCAGATCTTATCACATGTTGTGGTATTCTTGAAGTCTGACTAAACTGGGTGTGAAAAAGCATCACACCAAGTTGGCTCACTGTTGGAAGTAGACTAGCTAGCCTCTTTGAATGTTTAAACTATTGGGTGATGTTTTGTGGTTTCAAGCCGATTGAAAAGAATGGCCTTTCGAGTTCTATCTTAACTTGTATTCATCTTCCATTACTAGGCTGGCAGGACTCTGCATTTCCTAAACAAGTTGAGGAATCAAAGGCTTATCAGCTAAAATGGCAAGAAGGGAAGGGTAATGTACGATTTAACAATGGTTTATAATCAATGCATTTACTTCGTTTATCAATTTCTTCATAACTAAATGATGAATCAGAATCTTTGGATTCTTGAACTTGTAAATCACATACTAGGAAACATCATAAAGCATATCCATACTATTAATATGAATCTCTTCCATCATAGCTTCATCCAATACTCTAGCAATCTTGGAGACAGAAGCCTGTATGTATAGAAATAACATTTTTAGTAAGTTTGAGCAATAACATCAGTACAAATAAAGTATCAAAAGAATTATTGCCAATGTTATTTTTGTCACTGTAATAATGTTAAGAGTTAATAAAAGTATCAGTTAAATTTTAGAAAGAAAAAAAAAGAAGAAGAATTCACATCAGTAAGCCTTTTGACAAGGTTCTCTGTTTGAGAATATGAGCTTAACATCTTTATTCTGTTTGCAATACCCTTCTAGCTACTACTTATTCTTATTACACACCTTCCTTTTCTCTGCATAAACGGAAATTCCTCTATTTAATACTTATTGATTTCTAAATATTATAGTTTAGAAGACTAAATTTTGAACTAGGATCGACAAGAACGAGAAAGACCAAGTGGCTATAATAGGGGTAATAAGTATGCAAACAAGGTAGAAGTAATATACCATTATTATGTTATTATTAATAATATTATTATGATATCTTTCAAACTGATGTATATAAATATCAATCATAAGCAAGTTAAACTTTAAATGAGCAAAAGTTATAATTATAAAAGAAAAGGAAACAATTATTATTATTATTATTATTATATGGAGTTATAATTAATAAGTTCAGAGCAAAAGACATCTCCATGAAAAATTCTGTTTCAAGATAAGAAAATTACTACTACTAGCAGTACTACAAATAGTTACAGTTCTGAAAAGTTATACTCCCCTTAAAATAAAAAAAAATGACAATTTGTTGTAAACCATTGCATCCATCCCATATAAAATCGTTACATATACAAGTATCCTTACCATTAGGTAAAAAAAAAAAAATGTCATTTAAAATTGCTATCTACGAGGTCTGTTTCGTTGAGTTTGACGTTAAGCACAAAGCTACAGAATGGGCTACTTGTGCGAGTCACAGATAATGAAAACTGGTACTTATTTGTCATAAATCAGACATACCACTCAGCCAATGGCAAGGGGTATATTTCTCTTGGTAGAGGTTTACTAATATACAAAAAAAGAAAAAAAAATTATAATAAATAAAAGAAAAAATAAATTCTTGTTTTCAATACATTTATCACAACTCTAATTCATTGCTTTCAACATGTTAATTAACGTTAAGTATTTGTAGGAAGATTCAACACATTTCAAATACTTTATATTATACTTAAAAGCTAGCTCATATATATATATATATATATATATA